TCCCTCCCCTCAACTCCTCCCAGATCCTGTTTGTTTTTAGGGATATTGCTGCTTCAAATGGTCATGAGCACTAGCCTGCATTCAACCCAGAGGGTGTGTACTGAGAAGCAGAACTGATGACTCATAAGACAATTCCATTTTCACTTTTTTAAGGAACTATTAAACACAAGTATTAGATTTTGTATCCAGAATTATTTGTCACACCATAGGTCATGACGGCACATGTCTGTAACATTCAGGAGGCTGAGTCAGGAGGAGCCTGAATTCAAGGCTAACCTGTGTTACCTAGCAAAACCTTGTCTCAAAAGGCTAAGGACTCAGGGCTGGAGAAATGGCTTAGAGGTTAAGAGCACTGGCTGCTCTTGCAGAAGACCTGGGTTCAATTCCCAGCACCCACATGGCAGCTCACAACCGTCTGTAACCCCAGTTCCAAGGGATGTGGCACCCTCAAACAATCATGCAGGCCCAAACACCAATGCACATAAAATAAAAATAAATAAGTCTTAAAAACAAAACAAATAAAACCAACTCAGGACTGGGTGCTGGGGGAGATGGCTCAGCAGCTTTGGGCTCTTTCTGAGCAAGTCTGAGCAAGTGTGAAGACCTGAGCTCAAATCTCCAAACCCATGTAAATAGCCAGGCATGTGTTTATAAACACAGTGCTGTGGTGTGTGAAGAGGAGGATCGCCGGGTTTGCTGGTAGTCAGTCTAAGCTAGGCTCCCTGAGATGCCCTGTCTCAAGGGACTACGGTGAAGAGACAGAGCAGGACTCTCGGCATCAGTCCTCTGGGCTCCATGAACATCTGGGTGTGTATCTATGCCACATACATGTACACCATACACATAAACACACACACAGAAAAACAACTGCGGGCCAAGGATGTAGCTCAGGAATAGAAGGCTTGCTCAGCGCAAATCCATGTAGGAAAACTTGGAAGAGAGCCTTTGCTGGATTTCTGGATACAAGAATCTACTAACCTTTTCTGGAATCTCTCAGTGATTGAATTTGTTCTTCTCCACGATACATTGAAATTCCAGTGAAGAGCTAGGCTCTTCTTTATCTACTTAAATGTATGTTCAGTGTTGTGTTAGTCAAGGTTCTCTACAGTAACAGGACTTACAGAGCAACAGTTTTATATATACATATAAATGTGTGTGTGTAATGAATATATATATATAATGAACATGTGTGTGTGTACACATATGGGATTTATTAAAACGACTTACACACTGTGGGTCCAGGTAATCAACAACGGCTGCCTGTGAATGGGAAGTCCAAGAATCTAGTAGTTGCTCAGCTCATGAGGCTGGAAGTCTCAGCTGGTTTATCAGTATACACTGGAATCCCAAAGAGGTAGGCTCTACTGCTGGTGAAGGAATAGACTTGTTAGCAAGGTGAGGGCAAACGAGCAAAGAGCAAAAACCTCCTTCCATGTCCTTATATAGGCTTCCAGTAGAAGGTGTGGCCCAGATTGATTGATTGGCCTGGAGAGATGGCTCAGAGGTTAAGAGCACTGGCTGTTCTTCTAGAGGTCCTGAGTTCAGTTTCCAGCAACCACATGGTGGCTCACAATTCTTGATAATGAGATCTGGTGGACTCATCTGGCCTGCAGGCATATATGCAGACAGAACACTGTATACAAAATAAATTAATAAATCTTAAAAAAGAAGATTTGACCAATTGATTTCCCTTTGTTTTGATTCGTTCTTTTTTTTTTTTTTTTTTTGAAAAAGTGCCTTGCCGTCCTGGAACTCTGAACTCACAGAGATCCACCTGCCTGGGCTGGGATAAAAGGTATGCCCAGCAAGAAATATTTTGAAAGTACTTTCAGATTCTTCTCTTTCTCTCTGTCGGGTGCACCAGGTGGCTTCTGGGTCATCCCATGTGATCCCAGAGTTCTGAGTGACGTCTCCTCCCCAGGGTCCCCCTTCTGCTAGTGTCTCCAGGGAGCTGTTATCTGCAGCGCCGCCAGCTGAACTCAGGCCTTTCCAGGTGGTGTTTTCCCTCTTTTTCTCTCTTCCCCTGAGCTACAGCCCAGGGCCCAAGAGTGTTCTTGCCCCTCCCCCATCGTTTATGTGTGTCTGTGTATTTTTGCACATTTGCATGTTTGTTGGCATGTGTGGGCATGTTCAAGCACATGGGGGCCCAGGGTTGAAGTCAGGAATCATCCTTGATTTCTCTTCCATCTTAATTCACTGAGGCAGGGCCTCTCAGTCAAACCCAGGGCTCACTGATAGAGTCTTGCCAGCCAGTTTGCTGGGGGGGGACTCGCGGTCCCTGCTTTCCAAGGTTGGAATCACAGACGTCCCAGGCACCATCCTCACCTATCCCTTTGAGACAGGTCTACCTATGTACCTCAGCCTAGCCTTAAAGTCGAGATCCTCTGCCTGAGCCTCCTTACACGCCTGGACTGCAGGGCTGTGCTACCGTACCTCACCCAAGGACAGGTGAGTCACAGCTCTCGTGATACCAGACAGCCCAGGAGTGGCTCTCAGTAGCTTTACAGCTTGGTCAACAACCTCAGCCCTTTTATTTTAAGGTTTTTCTCAGCTCATCCCCCATGGGATCGTCGCTTACTTTCTTCTCCGTCTGGGGGATGAGGGCAGGCAGGGCTCTGTGGGATCTCAGCCTGGCTCACACCGTGGGATCGATGGGAGCGACTTCTTTTCCCTCGGGACGTGTCACTCTGCTTCAGCTAGTGAGGCCTGCCCACATCTCACGGGCCTGTCAGGCTCTCAAGATGACATCTGAATCTACGTTGCCTGCTTCTCTTTGAGCTTCTGTTTTGTGAAATGGGATCACGTGGTCTGTGAGGTAAAACAACTACAGCCACACAACACCGAGCACTAAACAGCTAAGATCAGCAACAGTTTATTACCCACAGGTACTCACAGCTCTGGAAAGGGCAGCTCGCACGCCATCAGAGCCAATTACAGCAGAGTGAATGAGAGCCTGGCTTTGCTGTGTCCGGAGGGTGAAGCGCTGTACCGGCTTCATTCTTTTTTTTTTTTTTTAAGATTTATTTATTATGTATACAGTGTTCTGTCTGCATGTATCCCTGCAGGCCAGAAGAGGGCGCCAGATCTCATTACAGACGGTTGTGAGCCACCATGTGGTTGCTGGGAATTGAACTCAAGACCTCTGGAAGAGCAGCCAGTGCTCTTAACCGCTGAGCCATCTCTCCAGCCCCCAGCTTCATTCTTTTCCTGTGATAAAAACACTCTTGACTAAAAGCAGCTTGGGGAGGAAAGTGCTTATTTGGCTTACACATCCAGGTTGTGATCCGTCAAAAAGGAATGTCAGAGAAGAAACCTGAGCAGAAACCACAGAGGAACACTGCCCACTGACTTCTTATGTGGCTCACACATTCACAGGTGCATGCTTAGTTAACTTTCTTGTACAGCCCGGGACCACCTGCCTAGGGATTGTGCTGCCCACAGTGGCCAATTAGTAACCCAGACAATCCCCAAAGACATCCCCACAAACCAGTCTGATCTAGTCCGTTCCTAGACTGAGGCCTTCCTCTCAGGTGACTTTATGTCAGCTTGACAGTGGGTGCTTCACTAGAACAAGGTCCCAATACTGAGGGAGAATGAGATCGGCTTATCTGTCCAATTCCATCAGTGAGCAGGAAGTAGAGCTGATCTGTTGGACGAGGAAAGGTGTCTAACCAGATCTTTCCAAGGAGGTGCTGAGGAGGACCAGTGGTCAGGTCCTTCTCAGGTACCTGACTTCCACCTTTGACCTTGTGACACAATGTCATCACCTATAAAATCCGCTCTTGAGGACCATGTGATGGAATTACAATAAATAAAACCTCCAAACCCTCACTGTTTGAAGTAGGTTTACCGTTTGGTGTAGGACCACACTCAGAGCTGTTCTGGGGCACAGAGAGGCCATGGCACTGTTGCAGACCGTCCATCACAGGAACTCGTGGGTGGGTTCTGATGACTCCATTTCGCCATGTCTGTCCCTGGCCTGACACTCAGCACACCAGAGCTGTTCTTCCTTCCCTCTCACTGCCTGTCTTTCTGTGACTCTCTGAGAGGAGGAAGGTAAGGGGGGAAAAAGTTTCATAGTAGAAAGGGTTGAAACTTAAAACCATACCTACCATCATCCGTATTTTCTACGTAGGGATTTTTTTTCTTTTTCAGTACTAAGTCTCGAACCTGGGGCCACATACACACAAGACAAGTTTACCAGTGAGGTCTAGCCTCAGCTTCAGAATGACCCTTTATTTTTATTTATTTATTTATTTATTTATTTATTTATTTACTTACTTATTTATTTATTTATTTGTGTGTGTGTGTGTGTGTGTGTGTGTGTGTGTGTGTGTGTGTGTGTGTGTGTTGAGATAGGGTTTCACTATATCCCCCTGGCTGCTCCGGCATTTTCTATGTAGACCAGGCTGGCCTCAAACTCAGAGATCGGCCTGCCTCATCAGTCTCTAACTGCTGGAAGCTGTGTGCCACCATGCCTGGCTTGGTGACTTTTTAAATATTAAATGTGATCTTACCAGACTCCTGATTAAAACCCTTCATGGCTACCTGTCTACTGATTTCAACATAAGGACATACTCTTTACCAGATCTGTGACAACCCCCCACCCCACCTGCCTACCTCCTGACTCCCCTCCCATGCAGGACACATGTTGTAAGCACTACCTGGAATGTTCTACCCTGCCCCCTTTAGAATTCTAGTTAACTAAGAGTGTCTCTGCATTTTTTAGCTCAGTTGTTCCTTCCCCAAGTAGAACTCCTCTGATCTCTGCACATAGGTCAGATTCTCCTGTTAAAGGACCTCAGGGCATCACTTGTCTTCTTCAGCATGATATATACCACAGGTTGCAAGTTTTCATTGTTCAAATCATTTGATCCCTGTCTATGCTCATATATCGCCTTGGAAGGAATAACCTCATCTACTGGGGAAATGAATGAATTCATTGAGACTCTGGATTCTTCTGGAGAAAAAAAAGGAATCAAAGAGAAGACTTAAATAAATGAATTTAAATCCATTTTTATTATTAAAATAGTTAAGAAAACTTACATTGCCAACCTGAAATTAGGAAATGTTTAGAAGATGGTTCCCATTAAAGGGAGAAGTGAATCCACCCTGAGTGCTGCATGAAGTTAGGAAGCGTCTCACTCCCTTCTGACTGAGGAAGCCATGAATACTGGGTAATGGACAGATCAGAATGCGGCTAACAGCAAGGAACTGGATCCTGCACACTGGGCTGCTCATGGCCCGGACCGTGGCAATACCCACACAAGAAGGATGCACGTACCACTGCAGCTGCAGAATAGCATGTCACCCTCACTACAGTACCAGCGACCAAGGCAAAAGAAAACACTAGAAGGATCCAGTGATCATTCACTATCTGAGGTCTCAACAAGGTAATGTAAGCACACTAGGAAGGAGGCATCGAGATGAAGGTATGAAGATTCTGAGGCCACAGGACGGGAAGCCTGTAGCTCTTACATAGAATCCTTAGGCTAAAAAGTTCAACTCTGAGGTCAAATACAGCCCACTTTAAAAAAAAAAAAATCTCCAGACGGGCAGTGGTGGTGCACGCCTTTAATCCCAGTACTCGGGAGGCAGAGGCAGGCTGATCTCTGTGAGTTTGAGGCCAGCCTGGTCTACAGAGTGAGATCCAGGACAGGCTCCAAAACTACACAGAGAAACCCTGTCTTGAAAAAAAAGTCTCCAAAAAGATAGGAAAAAATAAAAATCAAAGTTGGTGCAACTAGTGTGATTCCTGAGTTTAAAACTAGATAAAACTCTGGGCTTAAAATAATAGGTTTTATCCGTGCTGAGAAGTCTCTGTTTTTAAAAATTACATCATGTACTGGGGGTGGCCAGTGTTTGCGTGTGGAAGTCAGAGGATGCCTTGGGGAGTCGGTTCTCTCTTCCCATCACGTGGGTCAGGCCAGGCCATCCAGCTTGTCAGCAAGCACCTTTTTCATTAAGCCATCTCGGCCCCACCCTTTCAATCTATAGTTATCGCTTCTGGCTCTTAAAAGTCTCAAAATGGCAAGTCTCAGAGTAGATCATCAGTCACAGTATCTCATAATACTCACAGTCTCTATTCCACGGAAGAGTCTTTTAGAAACAAGCAGCCATGTCTAATGAAAAAACCGTAAAAAAGAAATCTTAAGGCAGGACCCCCACACCTGTGACTGGCCACTCTTATGTGCTTAGCAGTTGCAGAAGACGGTGAAGGGTACTGGCTTTTTTGTTGTTGTTGTTGTTTTTGTTTTTTTTGTTTTTCGAGACAGGGTTTCTCTGTGTAGCTTTGCGCCTTTCCTGGGACTCGCTTGGTAGCCCAGGCTGGCCTCGAACTCACAGAGATCCGCCTGGCTCTGCCTCCCGAGTGCTGGGATTAAAGGCGTGTGCCACCACCGCCCGGCTGGCTTTTTCTTTAAAAATTAAATTATTTTATTTATTATCAGTGTGCATGTATGGTGTGTGTGTGTGTGTGTGTGTGTGTGTGTGTGTGTGTGTGTGTGTGTGTGTGACATGTGGAGGTCAGAGAACAACTTTTAGGAGTTGGTTCTCCACTTCCCCCACAGATTTCAGGGGTTGAACTCAGGTCATGAGAATGCACAGCAGGCCCTTTCACCCTCTGAACCAGCTCTTTATGTGGATGCTGTGATCCAAACTCAGGTCCTCTTGCTTGTGTAGAAAATGCCATTACCCTCTGAACCATCTCTCTAGCCCCTCTTCCCCCCCCTTTTTAATTTTTATGATTATGATAATTTTATTTTCTTAAAGACGTGGTTTTGAAGCTGGAGAGGTGGCTCAGTGGTTAAGAGCACTTGTTACTATTTCAGAGGACTCAGGTTCGGTTCCCAGCACCCACATGGTGGCTCACGACCATCTGCAACTCCAGTTCCAGGGGCTCCGACACCCTCTTCTGACCCCCACAGGCACCAGGCATGTGTGGTGCACAGACATACATGCAGGCAAAACACTCCACCTTCCTGCCTCGGCCTTCTGGGCACTGGGATTGCTCTGCACCTGGCAGGTTGGGCTGCCTTTTAAAGTAGCGCTCAGATTGCCTCCACACTCGTTGGCTGTAAAGTCCAGGCTGTTAAAGGCACAGAGGTGGCTTTTACCAGTTTCTGACAATAGTCACTTAGAACCATAGGCTAGCAATGAGGATCAGACTCTATCTTGTATACGTTAGATGTCATGGCTTCTAGGCTGGGTTAACGAGTCCTCTTATAACTACCCAACAGAGTGTTACATTTTGCGGTGACCCCAGGCCTCCATGTCCACCTCTTGTCCCAGTTACCTATTGCTGTGTGCCAGTCCCCTTCCCCCAAATGTAATGACTTAAGACAGGAGGGCAGACCTCTGGGTGGACTGGGCAGTTCAAGCTTGGCCTGACTCCTGCAGTTCCAGTCACATGTTAGTAGGGGCTAGAATCACCCAAGGCAGCCTCTCTCCCTGTGTGGTGACTGCGCTTCAAGGCAATGAGCTGGCAGCAGATTGGGTACTTCTCCATGGGGCTGCTCCGGCTTCCTCACAACAGAGAAGCCTCCTAGAGTCAGACTCTGAACTTGGGCTGGCTTCCCCTCAGCCAGAGTTCCAAGGCCAGGAAGTGGACGCTGTTAGCCTCTTAAAAGAAGGTCCCGAAATAGATGCAATGTCACATCCACTACTGGATGAAGCCATCAGAGCTGCCCACAATGGGGAGGGGAAAACAATGTTTTTGGGTCTTGAGGGTCGTGGGGGTGGGTGTCAAAGAATCCGTGGCCATCTTTAATCTCTCAGGGCATTCTCAAATGCCAAAGGTTTAGTTTTTAGGGTTGGACCTTTGCATCCATGGAGCTATGTAAACATTTATAAGAGATCGCCTACGCCATCTCAATCTGTTCTCAAGCTAATCAGAGAAAGTAGGCTGGGAAATGAGGACCCTGTGTACACATTCAGGGTTGAGGGTGGCACAGCAGCCAGGCTCGGACTCCAGGCTCAGATCTGCATCTGGTTCTCATTCATGTGGCGAGGGCTCGTGCGCCTGTGGGTTGGTCTAATCAGGTCTTCAACACACCACGAGCGTACAAGAGAGGAAAGCTAAGTTCCCTTTGTCTGAAAACATGGCTCTAGGTCTTTACGAGAGAAGCTGCACGAGGAGCCACCATAATGTGCCAGCTCTACTGTCAGTAGGGACACTTGAAGCCACTGTACTGCCCCTCCGTCTTGGGGAACGCCTTCCGGATCCGCCAGCGACAGCAGCTGGGCAGGATGGCGAAGTCAGCCATGTCCTGGGAGCCGAAGCGCCAGATGGCATAGCACCTGTACGCGCAGTGCCGCAGCCTGCGGTTGCTGACCTCTTCCTCCAGCACCAGCAAGGGCTCCTGGTAGAGCAGGAGGAGCTGCAGGGTTTGTCTGGACAGCACGAGCTTCCAGAAGAGCTCTGAGGTGGTGATGCAGGGTCCCCGCTTCCTCCGACAGCACAGCTCCTCCAGGGCCCTGCGATGCTCCGGCAGACGGGACGGGAGGCAGTTTCCACACTGGCACCAGCCTGGGCTGTCCCCGGACCTGGGGGCCACCTCTTCCCGAAGCAGCTGCATTTCCTCGGGTTGTCCAGGAACGGGAGGTGAGTCGTGGAGAGACAGGGACAGCCTAGACAGGTTCGTGATCTCCATCTGAGGCCTCTGAAAAAGTCAAGTTTCCAGACCCTTCAGCAACAGCAGCCCATTGGGATTTAGGTTCAGTAGCTGCATCAGCCTATGTGACCGCATGTACTATTACAGCGACTGGAACAGCTATCACCTTTTTATCTGTGTCGGGGTGGGGCAGCTGTTCTGCCACTGAGTCTGTTATGAACCTCTTGTAATGCAAATGCCTGTCTCTGCTTTACATATTTGGAAAATGAAATTCAGAAAAGCCAGGTATCAACGGGGACATGGCCTCTTGCCCTGGCTGCCTTCGGAGGGTGTCTCTCCTCCTGGGTGATTCTCCCATCACATCAAGACAGTGGACTGCCTTCTTCATGGGGCTGACCCCTCAGAAAGGATCTTACTAGGTAATGTTTCTTTGGTGACTGCTGTCTTCTAAGGGAGAGCAGGAACTATGTTCATTTGCTCCATATCCTTGGTGCCTGGGGCAGTGCCCAGTACACAGTATTTGTTGACTCGTTCCTAATATTGCCATGCCTGCCAGACTCTCTCCACTGGCATATCCATTTGTTATCTTCCTAAGTTGCCAGAATTGCCATGCCTAGTCTATGTGACATATGCCTTTACTCACTGCGTGAAGAGTATGTGAATGGTCACAGCAGCACTATTTATGAAAGGCTGAACAACCCTAGGATCCGCCAACTAGTGGGTGGATAAACAGAAGGTGACCTATCCAGGCAGTCTGTCTATCCACGAAGACTACTGAGCCATAAAACAGACTGAAACAGTGGCAGACCGAAACACCCAGAACATAGATGAGCCTTGAAGACACGATGCTAAGTGAAAGTGAGACATGAAGGATCACATAGTACATGACCTATCTTATGCAAATTTCTAAAGTAGACGGACCAATAGGAAGTAGTGGACTATTTAATGATGCAAAGATGTGTTGCATTCTTTTATGTTGCATTTGTTTAACTCTGTGAAGCTGTGTTACTTTGCCTGTCTAAAACACCTGATGGTCTAATAAAGAGCTGAACGGCCAATAACGAGGCAGGAGAAAGGACAGGTGGAGCTGGCCGGCAGAGAATAAATAGGAGAAATCTGGGAAAGGAGATCTAGGATGGAGGAAAGGAGGAAAGGAGGACAGGAGGACTCCAGGGGCCAGCCACCTAGCTACACAGCTAGCCACAGAGTAAGAAGTAAAGAAAGGTATACCGAAACAGAGAAAGATAAAAGCCCAGAGGCAAAAGGTAGATGGGATAATTTAAGAAAAGCTGGCTAGAAACAAGCCAAGCTAAGGCCAGGTATTCATAAGAAAGAATAAGCCTCCGTGTGTGTGTGTGTGTGTGTGTGTGTGTGTGTGTGTGTGTGTGTGTGTGCGCGCGCGCGCGCGCATGCATGTTTATTTGGGAGCTGGGTGGCAGGCTCCCAAAAAGTAAAAGAATAAAACAACCACAACACCCAGCCTTTGTAAATCAGTAAGTTCCAGCAGCTTGGAAAGCTGAGGATCATCCTTGGCAATTCACCAAGACTTTGTCCCAAAATAACATGGGGGTGTAGTACTCAGTAGTACTACATTTTCCCAAGATATTCAAGGACCTAGGTGCAAACCCCAGTATTCCCCAACTTAGACCAATCATTGAAATTCACCTCATAACAGGAAAAAGAAAATCTCACAGATTATTTAAAAAGAAGTAGAAAAATATTTTAAATTCCTTATCCATTCATGATTAAAAAAAAAAAAACAAAAAACCCTCACAAACTAAGCACAAAAGAGAAATTTCTTGAATCTGATACTACATTCTTAAAAGCTCACCAAAAACCTCTGGCAGAGAGTGAACTAGCCAAGCTGTCTGCTGAGACGGGAAATGAGGTCGAAGCCTGTGCTTCCTACACTGGTGTGGAAGCCCGCTGGGGCCCAGCCAGTGCTGGGACTGGCGGGAGGATTCTTCCCTGAATCCTCCAGGGAAACCAGTGCCCTGCGGAGACCTTTAACCTCAGCTGGTTAGCCTCCAGCCTGGAGTGTAAACCTGCTGTTGAAGCTGCCTAGTTTGTGGTCGCTGGTTATGGCCACAGGAAATCAATACATCTAGCAAAAGTGCCCAGCGGCCGGAACTGTGGGGAACACACATGGTCACAGCCACCTCGTAGCTGGCTGTTGGTGTCTTTTAACACAAAACATATGCTGGCCGTGACTCTCAGGTGATCGATCACCTGACAGAATGCCATATGTTTGCCATCATGGCATGATTGACATTTGCCCCCATACTAGTTCCCAAATGAACTTCCATGCTGAAAGGGGTAAATAAAATGAATGTTTACAAAGCAGAAATTATACAAAAATGAGCATGAACTATCACGGTATGCAATGTCAGATAACTCAATAAAATAATGGGTGATAGGAGTCAGACTTGCAACCGAGTGTGTTTTACGACAGGGTCTCACTGTGTTTCCCAGACTGGTCTGAACTCCTGGGTCCAAGCGATCTCCCTGCCTCAACCTCTCAAGTGCTGGAGTTACAGGTCTAGACAGCCGTACCCAGCTTGTACAGTTCTTTTTCACAATTCTAGAATCAAAACTAATCTTTAACCTGGGTGGTGGTAGCAGCGCACGCCTTTAATCCCAGCCCTCGGGATCCAGAAGCAGGTAGATCTCTATGAGTTCCAGGCCAACCTGGTCTCCATTGGAGTTCCAGTCCATCCAAGGCAGCACAGTGAGACCTTGTCTCAAAAGAACAACAAAAACCTAAATCCTAACCCTTAGATGCAGGATGAGGACTATTTTTTAAGAGAAGATGGCAATTCAGGAGAGGCATAAAAGGGACTTCTGGAATATTCAATCTCTTTCTGTCTTTCCTCCTCTGGATAAGTACTCTACTATTAAATCCCAGCACTTGAGAGGCAGAGGCAGGTGGATCTCTGTGAGTTCGAGGCCGGCCTCATCTACATAGTGAGTTCCAGCCCAGCCAGGGCTACACAGAGAAACCCTATCTCAAAAAACCAAAACCGAAACCAAAAAACAAACCAACAAAACCCCCAAACCCTACTATGAGCTATACAAAACATCTCATTTTATTAGATTTATTTGCGTGTGCGTTTATGTGTGTGTGTATGTGTGTGTGCACATGTACCACAGGAGATCAGAGGCTAACTTGCTGGAATTGGTTCTTTCCTTCCCCATGTGGGTCCCAGGGATCCAACTCAGGTCATCAGCTTTGGCAAGCAAGCACCCCCACCCTCTGAGCCACCCCACCAGCCCCAAAGCAACTCATTTTTCAGTCTGGGTGCTGGTTCCATGAATATGTTTACTTTGCTAAAATTCATCAACTGTGATTTATATAAATATCTCCAAGTGTTTATAATTAAGAGCAAAATCTCCTAAAAAAGAAGACTAAATGTTCTCACTTACTGGAACTTCCTGGCCTTTGACAACTTGCAGACTCTTCCCGAGTAGCTGCTGGTCCACCATGCGAATGTGGGGTTCGTCCACAAAGGACACATATTTTAATGTCTAGGAGAAGAAGGACAAAAGTCTGCTGTGGAGCCGGGCAGTGGTGGCGCACGCCTTTAATCCCAGCACTCGGGAGGCAGAGCCAGGCGGATCTCTGTGAATTTGAGGCCAGCCTGGTCTACAGAGTGAGATCCAGGACAGGCTCCAAAACTACATGGAGAAACCCTGTCTAAAAAAAAAAAAAAAAAAGTCTGCTGTGTACAGAAGTTACAAGAATCTCCTGTTCAGACGTATGTGAACCCATCTGCTAATCACACTGACCACACGACAAAGCAAGCTAGCCAGGACCTAAAGGGAAGTCAGACACGGAACCCCATGCACCCTAACTGGGAGAGCCATCCTGGCCACAGTCCAGCGAGGCCCCAGCACAGTGTAGTGGCCTGTGCTGAGTCTCCTGAGTTCAGTGTCCATGGGGGCAGTCTCTGGGAGGCTGTGGAGTTGTCCTTTATTTGTTTACATGTTTGTTAGATTTCACTCATCTGGGAGGGCCATGTTGAGCTTTAGTTCCAAATGTGAAATAATCTTCCTGTTCCCCTTCCTTCCTCCCTCCCCTTCTTTCTTCCTTCCTCCCTCCCTCCCTCCCTCCCTCCCTCCCTCCCTCCCTTCTCTCCCCTCTCCGTTCTTCTTCTCTCCTTATTTTCTTTTTTGAGTCAGGGTCTTATTCTCCAATCTGGACTAGCCTCAGATTCGACATCCTCCTGCCTCAGTCTACCTACTGCTGGGACTGCAGGCCAGCAGCACACACTGAGCTTGGCTGAACTTTCATTTCCATCACGAGCACAAAGACAATAGACAATAAACAATGAACTGCGCCTTTGGCTCCTGGGAGAGGGCAGTGATGTTCCCAGGGAAACAATGTAGCCCTCTTTGTGTTCAGGGAGCCAGCGGTTCCTCTGTGGGGAGCCTGAAAGTGAGTGGAGTAGACCTGCCTCACGAAGTCCAAAGTAGTAAAATCAAAACACTACAGGTGTGCCTACCCTCCTGCCTTAGGCTCTCTGTCAGAAGCCACCAGCAACCACTGCTGTCAACACTCTTGTGTGGGTCCAGGACACACATATGCATACATACATGTACATGTGTGAAATGTACATAGAGAGAATGCATAGAAGTAGATTGTGTGTGTAGTTGCCTTTTGAACCTATAAATGGTGATATCTAGTTCTTTTATTTACTTTTTTCCTCTCAACAAAACATCTTGGCTATTTGCTCAAGTTATCACCTATACCTAAGTGGTTAGAGCAGATTCTGAGGCCAGCTAGCCTCAGGCGGAATCCCAGCTCTACCGTAAACTGTCTCTATGACTCTGGACATAGTAGTATTTAAGCTCACTCTCTCCTCCCTCACCCATCTCTGTGAGTGTGTTGTGTTTTGTTTTGTTTGAGACAAGGTCTTATTCTGTAGCCTAGACTAGCCTTGAACTCAAGGCAATCCACCTGCCTTAGCATCCCCAGTGCCAGGATTATAGACATGAGGCTCCACATCCAACTTTCTGGGTTTATTTGTTATTGTTGTTGTTTCAGGTTGAACTGGAACTCATATTCTTCTTGCCTTAGCTTCCTGTGCAAGGGGATTACAGACATGTGTAACCATACCTGGTCCATCTACCTCATTTTAGTGAGTGGGGTGTGTGTGCATGCGTGCGTGCGTGTGTGTGTGTGTGTGTGTGTGTGTGTGTGTGTGTGTGTGTGTATGTAGCTAAAGGCTTTATTTTCTTTCTTGCTAATAACACTGACCCGAGTGATAACTAGTATTGTTTACTATGGATTTATCATGGCGTCTTTCACCATTCACCCAGTGGACATTTGGAAACATGTTGTTTCTTCCTATTATTTATTCGTTTATTTTGCAGTACTGGGGATCGAACCCAGGCCTCACACATGCTGAGCAAATGTTGTTATTACTGAACTATTCCTTTGCTATTAGTAATTTAACAAGCAGTATTAATAATTTAACAAAATTTAGTGACCATCCTAAACACTGTGTGCATCTGTGTAAAGGTTTCTCTAGAAAAGTATGGAAAAATGGAAAAACCAGGACAAAACACTCCCATTGAAATATTATTGGTCACTGCCTTATGATTTGTTCTTGGAGGCCATTGTACCATCTGGGGTCAGGGAGGGGCTGTACCTATTTAATAAATGACCAAATCTGGACCGGAACGTAAAAATTCATCTTCCCGACGGGCGGTGGTGGTGCACACCTTTAATCCTAGCACTCGGGAGGCAGAGGCAGGCGGATCTCTATGAATCCGAGGCCTGTCTGGGCTACAGAGTGAGTTCCAGGACAGGCACCAAAACTACACAGAGAAACCCTGTCTCGAAAAAAAAAAATTGTCTTCCCCATCTAAGTCGGTTCTCCATTTTTGCTTCTTTTCTTTCTCAAAACCGAAGGACTCATCAGAGAGACAGTTGTTTGGGGTTGTCAAGGAACCGACCCACTTAGGGACGAAACCGTGATTATGGCCTATTTTTTTTCCCCACACACTTTTTAGCCACCTAGAAGAATCTGTGTGTGTGTGTGTGTGTGTGTGTGTGTGTGTGTGTGTGTGTGTGTGTGTGTGTGTGTGTCGGGGGGATCTGACAGGGCAGCACGCCTTACCCGCTTCGGCTCCACCACCGATTCACACTTCTTCCTGTAGTAGTACTCGTTGACTGCACAAGGTTCGCAGCACGCACAATAGGGGTAAACGCTGGACCTGCAGAAGGCACTGGAGTAGGTGTTGATGAGCAAGTCAATGAACACAGTGGCCTGTGGAAAAGCAGACACCGCACCGGTGAGATGTCGTCCCCAGCCCAATCATGTCCTTCGGTGTTTTTGTGGCTGTTGTGTTTTCAAGCCTGCATCTCACCATAGTCACGGGCCTGGCCTCAAGTGCACAGAGATCTGCCTGCCTCTGTCTCCTGAGTGCTGGGGTTAAAGACGTCCGCCACCACCAACCCCCCAGCCTGAATCACTTTCTTAAAGGGTGGGGAAGAGAATCTCTTACCAAGCCAAAGTAGGACAGTGTGGATCCAATGTACACAACCAGCTGGATGATGTCAAATTTTCCTCCCTGAAACAGAGCGGGGAGCATTACTCAGCTGAACTCTTAAGTGGCGCCTTTTTTTTCTTGCTAACTTTCAGTTGCTGCATCTAGCATGCCCAGAAGCCTGCGATAGCATTGAGGCATGCACCCGAGTGCTCAACTGTCACAGAGACCGTGAGACATCATGCTTCCCCTTTCCGCCATCTAGAATGTTTTAGAGAGATGTGGTCGGTCCGTAAGGGGAGGACCTCTGAGATGAGGGTTGAAGCTCTCCCATAGTGTAGGATAACTGGGGGAGCAGACATGTCTACATCCATCTGCCTTTTTGTTTGTTTTTGGTTTTTTGAGACAGGTTTCTCTGTGTAGCCTTGGCTGTTCTGGAATTCAATCTTTAGACCAGGCTGGGCTTGAACTCACAGAGATCCACCTGCCTCTGCCTCCTGAGTGCTGGGATTAAGGGTGTGCGCCACCACCACCCAGCCCATCTGTTTTCTTGTTGGTCTCTTTAAGGTCTGCTCTCAGTGGCCTTTCCATTCACTTATTTTATGGATTCTTTTTTCTTCCTTCCTATTTATTTATTTTGAGACAGAGTCTTACTACGTAGCCTTTACTGGCCTGGAATTTGGTGTGTAGACCAGGCTGCCCCCAAACTCACGAGATCACGTGCCTCTGCCTTCAGAGTGCTGGGATTAAAAGTGTGCACCGCCACACCCAACTTTGCATATCATTGATTCTTTTGTTACAGTGTGGCATTAATCACATGCCGCCAAGCATGGTGTGCTTTACGTGGTGGAGATCAAACCCAGGCCTTCTTATCTTCCATAGGCACGCATTCCACCTGCTGAGCTATACCCCAGCTCAGTATCAGATGCGGTTTATTTATTGATTTAGTGTGTGCACTGTCTGTTCTATGTGCGTGCGTATGTGTACAGGTGTGCTTGCCCATGCAACCGTGTAGAAGAGGTTGATTTTGGAGTACCTTTCCTCAGCCTGTGTGATTGCTTTTGAGATGAGTTTCTCAGTGCATCTGGCTGGCCAGTGAGTCCCGGGAATCCTCCTGTCTCTCCCTCCAGTGTTGGGCTTACAGGCATGCACACACTGCCGTGCCTAGCCTTTTGCCTGGGTTCTGGGGGTCCGAACTCAGGTCCTCATGCCTGTCGGTAAACACTTTACCCTCTGAGCCATCTCTCCAGCTCCGCAGTAAAGTATTTGAAAAGCTGAATATTAGAGCTAGGTGTATTGGTGCACACCTATAATCCCAGCCCTTAGAAGGATGAGGCAGGAGGATTGGGAATTCAAGGCCAGCTGGCTACGGAGCAAAAGCCTGTCCCAGAAAAATAAAACAAAGGTTGGATATTTGGGTTTTCCCTCAGTCACATTTCATGGTCTTCAGATGGTTTGTTCATCAACAGAAGCCCCAATACATTTCTCCCTCGTCTCATTCCGCAAGTGAATTGCACAGAGCCAGCTACTGATTCCGGCCGCTAGCAGTCACTCCTCGCTACGTTCACAATTAGACAGCCACAGGAAAGAGAGACTTACGGTGCCGAAAACCAGGATGTCAAAACGGATCCCATAGGCTTTGATCAGTGTCCGCTTTTCCACGTTGTTTTCCTTGTAGTACTTGGCGTACCTACGGGAGAAGAGCAGCCACGTTTACAACACTCTGTCTGGAAGTGCTGCTGTCTTATGGGGAGAAAGAGCAAACCAGTAGCCAGTCCAGTCTTCCTCATTGGCTTTTGATGCCTGCACAGTTGGCAGAGGAAAGACTACTACAGTCCACCCCTCTGATTCCTCTCTGCCCAAAGAGTGACCCCAAGTTACCTCACCTGCTTCCATCATCCCTGAGTAACAGAAAATTGGCTTTTAGTTTCCTATTAAAACATCTAACATTTGCCAGGCGGTGGTGGTGCATGCCTTTAATCCCAGCACTCGGGTGGCAGAGCCAGGCGGATCTCTGTGAGTTCGAGGCCAGCCTGGTCTACAGAGTGAATTCTAGGACAGGCGCCAAAGCTACACAGACAAACAAACAAACAAAAATCCAACATTTAAGGCAATATAAAATCAACAATAAGCAAAGGAACTTTAAAGAGTAACTTCAGGCAATGTGTTTATTTCTCTCTTCTCTTTTTTTCTTTTTAGACAAGATCTCTCTCGATGTAGTCCTGGCTATCCTGGGACTCACTATGTAAACCAAGCTGGACTCAAACTCAGAGATCTGCTTGTCTGCAACTGCTGGTATTAAAGGTGAAGGCCACCATGCCAGACGTGTTTATTCCCTTCTCCCTTTCTTTTTCTTTTTCAAGACAGGGTTTCTCTGTGTAGCCCCAGCTGTCCTGGAACTCACTCTATAGACCAGGCTGGCCTTGAACTCAGAGATCTGCCTGCCTCTGCCTCCTGAGTGCTAACAGGCGTGGCTTCTCGAACAAAGCAGGGAAGGACAACGTGAGTCTCAGCTCTCTGTTGTCCACTGGGGGCAGCTCAAGGATCTGTCACAACTGTGCTTTCTTAGATTCTGCATGCATCTCTCTGCCAACCATTAGCCACAGAGCCGAACCAAAGGTCGGTCACCTTGTGGACAGCAGCCTGAAATTCATCTTTTGTGAGCCTGTGAAAGTCACGTTCCAAACCTTCAGGCCAATTCTGGATACCCTGCCACCACCTCCTCTGATTCTCAGATCTGGCCAGAATTTCTCTATTCTCAGGCACACAGGGGATTTAGCTCAGTGGTAGAGCGCTAGGCCCTGGGTTTGGTCCTCAGCCCCAGAAAAAAAATCATGAATGCCCTTGTAGCCCAGTGTCTGATGTCAGCTCTCAGCCCTCTCCCCAGCCTGCCTCACCTTTCCTCACAATGCGGGCCTCACCCTCCCCTTGCTCTGTCTCTGACCAAACTACTGCTTCTCTTGCAGCCTTGGGTGGGGTAGCCTGCTTCCATCCTCTGGGATATGTAGGCTTTAGGTTTAAGTCCAGTGACATTGACTTCTCCATGTTATCATACAACCACTTTTACGAAGTAACCTGGCACAAATCACAGCCACCCCAAACAGGTGCAACGGTTAAGTGTGTCTGTGTGTGTGTGTGTGTGTGTGTGTGTGTGTGTGTGTGTGTGTGTGTAAAACTTTATTTTTCATAAACAGGAAGACGTAAACCACAGATGTTTAGCAGGGTACGGAACTACACACCTGTTATCTTGGCACTTAGAAGGCTGAGGCAGGAGGATTGCCTTGAATTTAAGGACAGCCTGGGCTGCAGTAAATTCAAGGCTAGCTTGGACTATATGGTCAGACCCTGCCTCACAAAAGCAAAACAAAACTGCCCCCAAACAATGTGGTCCAGTGCAGCACAAGAGCACAAACCTCGTGAGGCTCTGGCACGAGTCTCTCTACCGTCTGTGAGTTGTTCTTACATAAAAACACGGATTTTCTTTCTGAGTCATTCACAGCCTATTTCCAGGTGTAGGAAGAGAAGGAAACAGATGCTCTGCCAGACTATCACCTGGAATAGTCCCGATCCTTTCTGTGAAAAGCCCTCAAATCCTGAGACTGAAGCCAGGCGGTGGTGGTGGCGCACGCCTTGAATCCCAGCACTCAGGAGGCAGAGGCAGTGTGGATCTCTGTGAGTTTGAGGCCAGCCTGGTCTACAGAGCGAGTTCAAAGACAGCCAGGAAAACCCTGTCTCGAAAAACCAAACCAATTAAACCAACCAAACAAGAAAAACAAAAACCCTGAGACTGAATCAGGCAGTCTCCGGCACTTCAGTGTTTGGTTTTAGCCCGAGGGGTTCCCATTGCCCTGACTCTGTTTCATTCCGAGACAGTTCTCCCCTTCCCGCTCTGTCGAATGATTCACTTTCTAACACACAAGGCGGCATGCATCAGTACTCCACGCTTGTGGTTGGTTTGCCTGGGAAAATTAGTTTTGTAAGTACTTGAATTTCTGCTTCTGGGCTCTTGCCATTGTAGATCATAATGGAGGGCAAGGATTATACGGGGAAACTATTCAAAAAGGGGGGCCTCTGGGCCTGAGTGCCGAAGAGGGGTTTCAGAAGGTCTGAACAGTTCTAGGAGTCTGTCTCAGTACAGGCAGGCAGGTGATGAGTCACTGAGGGACACTGGACAAGGATGCTTTTCTGCATGTAATGGATTAAATAGTGGACCCCAAAGACGACAGGTCCAAGTACTTAACCCCAGGCCAGCACAGTGAATGTGACCTTATTTGGAAACATAGTTCTGCAAATGTATATGAGCATCTCACGGTGAGCGTCCCCTGACTTCCTGGCAGTCCTACATCCCATGATTAGCAGGCATCCTTATAAGCTAAAGGGGATGGGAATTTAGACTGGAGGACCATAGTGAAGCCATTCGGGATGAAAGCAGCGATTGGCGTGGTTCAGCTATGAGGTGAGAGATTCCTGGAGCAGACAGAAGTGGGAGAGGTGAGAGAAGAAGACCCCCTCCCTAAGCCTTCAGAGAGAGCACGGCCCTCGGGTCTCAGACCTCCCGTCTCTATGAGAGAATCAATGTAGTAAGCATTCACTGTTCACGACAATCGCCTTAAGCCGTTTGTGGTAATCTGTTACAGTAGCCACAGGAAACTCATACTTATCCATACATGTTCTGGACCCGAGAAATGCATCTTATACCCCTGTATCACACATATAAATCAGTGAGGTTAGGGTTAAGCTTGCCAGAGGAGGACATTCTTGCGTCGTCTTTATTTTAGTGTGTGTTTGTGTGTGTGGAGACCGGGGGTCCGCACCGGGTATCTTTCTCCATCACTCCCTATCTTATTTTGTCAGACATGGTCTCTCCCTGAACCTGCTGCTCACTAGCTTGTCTGGACTGCCCAGCCAGCAAGTCCCAGGGATCCCTGTCTCTGCTTGCCCGGCATTGGGATTCTAGGCACACACCACTAGGCCTCGTTATATGGATGTTGGGAGCCGAGCTCATGTCCTCCTGGCTAACCCAGCAAGCTCCTTTCTGACCGAGCCGTCTCGCCAGCCCCCATAAATCTTTTTCTTGAGGACAAAGTTACATAATGTGAACTTTCTAACTTCCTGTAAAAAGAGAAAGCTATATTTCCCCAAATACCTCACAGAGCCTGTAATTTCCTTCTCTTTTGTGACGCCGTTTGAAAAGAGCTTGTTCTCTTGCCTATCAGATCTCCACAATTTATTTTTGGCCAAAGAGTTCTCCTGGTGCTCATTCAACAACAAATCTGCTAACGCTTTAGTCTAAAAAAATACTGACGTCATAACCCCTCCTGGCTTCTTGAGAGCTCAGTCCCACCAGGAGCGGATGTTCTTAGGTTCAGCTCAGAGAACGGGAGGACGCTGGCCAGTGTCTGCGTGGTACATTACCCTGCATGCTTTGGCTGAGTGCTAAATAAAAATGCCCAGGACAGTCAGGGGACCATTCTTCATGTCCTCTCTTTCTTGCTAATGGCCACAGCCTCTTCAGCACATCCCCCTGTTCAGTAAGGGTGATCAAAAAGTTACCTGAACTAAGAGCCTCTTCCTGAGCCAGGGATGAAACTCCACTGACCCAGAGGAGGCAAAAGGCCTCAGTCAGCTTGATGCTGAGTCAAGGGTCTTGAACTCGGATCTCCATAGGGGCCAGGCATAAAGGATTCAGGTCACAGAGAAGGACATAAAGAGCTTGGCCAATGGGAGTGGATGGGGCGGGGGTGAGGGGACTGTGGTTGGTATGTAAAGTAGAAAAAAATTGAAATAAAATTGAGGGAGACCAGCTCCCTCTTATTCCCCTAGGGTACTTCTGAGCAGGGAGAAAAGAGGAATTTGGAGATAGAAAGATATAGGTAGAGAGATAGACAGAAAATAGACAGGATAACCTTGGGAGGGCCTGGGTCCAAATCCACCAGCCCCTTCTGTCTCTACTAAAGGGCTTTTTAAAGAAATGCCAAGGGGTGGAGCAAAAGACCTCCCCCCAGCACAGCCTAGTGCAGACCATCCCAGACACCTGGTGACCACACACATGATCTATCCATCCCCTTATGAGGCACTGCTGTGTAAAGCAAGCTCAGATCTCACTAGAAAACCTTTGTGGGCTCCCAATAGAATGTAAAAAACAAAAAACAAAAACAGAAAAACAAAAGAAGGACATAAAGAAATGGTAAGGACAGTGTCAATGCAAAAGCTACGTGCTCTTTCTCCAGGGCCCACACCCAACTCCAGCCAGTGCTGTCCCTAGGGCATCTGGGCCCAGTGTTACTTAAACTTTATAAACTCTGCGTCAAGCACGTTAGCTTTTCAGGAAAAAGAGGAAGCCCGAGTCTTTGTGTAGACTATCACAAGGTTTAAAACATTCTACAAGTGCAAAGAAATAAATGGAGTCTCCAGGGGTGTCCAGTGCAGGTGTTTGCTAAGTCGGGGGTGAGGAGGTACTGTGATGCTCTGCACCATAGCAGGCACCCAGGTGAGGCCCCTGACCCAGGTTCCAGGATGGAGCTCTGAGGATAGGCATCTGTATCAGGCAGGGTTCAAATTCGAGTGAACATCAGAGCCCCATGGAGACTTGTGAAAATGTAGATCACAAACCCGCCTCTGTACAGTCTGAACCAGGAGGTCTAGGCCGGGCCCAGGAAGGTGCATTTTTGAGTCACCGTGTGATGCTGCTGCTGAGTGCTGTATTTTGAGAGTTGCTAGTCTAGATGGGATGTGAAAGGGATTCACAGATGTGACTTTGTTTCCCGGGTTTCCTCTCAGAGCCCAGGCTCCAGTCCTCCCTCTTAACTAGAAAAGGGAGCCATACCTGCAGGGCCCCCACCTCCTGCTTGGAGAGGCTTCCCTGGCCACATCTTCCCATCACATTATCTTGCTTGATTTTCTTCAGAGAACTTTACCGTCATTAGAAATGCCCTAGTTAGAGCTGTCTGTTGGTTCTATAGAGATATCATTTGCATGACTTATAATGCATAAGTCTCTGTTCAGTTTTTATCTTTTGTTTTTTTGTTTTGAGGCAAGGTTTCTCTAAATAGCTCTGGCTAGCTTGGGACTTGCTGTGTAGACCAGGCTGTCCTCAAACTCACAGAGATCCACCGGCCTGTGCTTCTGGCGTGCTGGGATTAAAGAAATACACCACCATGCCTAGTCATGGGTTTTGACAAATGAATACCTTGTGTTTGCATCCAAATTTCTTCAACTCAAAGTATTGCATTTTCTCAGAAAACCTTTTCCCAGCCCACAACCCACTATTCTGTCTTTTCTCACCAAAGACGAGTCTTGCCTACTTTCTAAAAAAGAAATTAGTGTGTGTGTGTGTGTGTGTGTGTGTGTGTGTGTGTGTGTACATGCACACTCATGGCCTACATATGGAGGTCAGAGGACAACTTGTGAGAGCCAGTTGTATCCTTCCACTATGTGTTCTGAGGATCAAACTCAGGTCTCTGTGCTTAGCAGCAAGCACCTTACCCACTGAGCCATTTCCTTGGACCTACAATTTTATCTTAGTGTGTTTTTAATTTGCATTTCCCCAATAACTAGTAGTGTTGATGAGCTGTAACGTTTTATTTGCTTACATTTTTGTCTATGTGCCCTTATTAGAATACAGTAGCAACCATGAGGTCGCAACCTTGTCTTTTCTGTTTGCTGACTCTGCCCATTGGCACATTTTATACTGGTACCTGAAGTTGTAGCCAGGGACCAAGGACTCATTGGTATACTTGTCATCCAGGCGGCGGAAGCTGTATTTGGGATAACAGTGATGGGACCAGCTGTCCAAGTTGCAGTCCCAGTAGATCTCAATGCCCATGATTCCTCCCTTGGGGGACAATCAACAAGAAAAGTCACTTAAGTCTGTTGGGTGGGGGTTATGCACCAGTAATATCACTGTTCTGCTTAGTAATATTATTTTGGGGAAGGTTTTCTCTCTGTGGGGAAAATGGTCATTAAAAGGTTTTAGTGCGCTGGGCGGTGGTGGCGCACGCCTTTCATCCCAGCTCTCGGGAGGCAGAGGCAGGCGGATGTCTGTGAGTTCGAGGCCAGCCTGGGCTACAGAGAGAAACCTCATCTCAAGAGAGAGAGAGAGAGAGAGAGAGAGAGAGAGAGAGAGAGAGAGAGAGAGAGAGAGAGAGATGGAGGAAGGGACTACCAACCAATAAATAAACACCAGGAGCACGGCTGGGAAGGTAAAGCAAACATGCATTCTCCCCTGGAGCCTCCAGAGGGAGTGTGCTGCTGTTGACACCTGAGCTCAGCTCAGATTCTGGTCTTCTACTCCAGGCACAGAAGAAAACATGTTATTTTTAACCGCGCATCAGTGGTGATTTGTTACCGCAACCACAGGAAAAATACACCAAGTAGCTCACTCAGGATTGTGGGAGTCCCTGAAGGAATGCAGGCGAAGCCCTTGGCACTGGGTATGGTTTACCAAATACAAACAAATGTGAGCCAGGATGTCAGCCTCTACCATCAGACACTGCCATTGGACATTTGACAACCTCTACCTCCCGACGCACGTACAACCACTGTGCAAAAACCCCACCAACCTGAACTGCCACCTCTGAAAAGTTCTCTCCTGCTTCCTGGAAGATGTCCCCGAGTCGGAAAATGGGACACTGAGGGTTCTGAGTCTTATGAAAGGTGCAAAGGATGCCCGTATCTGGCAAGATGTTTCTCCTGTGAAGAAATGCAAACGAACAGATGTTTTACCAACCATCTCTCTAAAGGGAAAACCGGTGCCTGCCAAGTAGCGCTTGCTGATTACCGGGGTGTAAATGCTCCCACCACCAACGGGACATTGTTGAACTTGACGTTGATCTACTACAAACAGATCCATCGCTCATTGGTGTGAGCTGTGTAGCAGCTCCCTTGTCTCCTGGGGACCCTTGTAGCATGTCCTCTTACATTGTGCTGGGAACAGTCTCTGTGACCAACAGCACATTGCAGAACTGGTTGGGTATCACTCCCAGAGACTGGGGTTTCTGTTTCAGTTACCTTGCCCATCTTGCTCTGGTGAAGCAGCTACCACATCCTAAGGAGACTCAAACAGTCCTTGGGTGAGAGGAGCATGGTGAGGAACGTAGCCCTGCTGCCTCAGGCACGTGGGTAAGGCTAGAAAAGGACTCAGCTCTGATCAAACCTAGAGCTAACAGAAGCTCTGACTGACAGCTCTGAAGAGAGCATGAGCCAGAACCACCCAGCAAAGACATTTCCGGATTCCCGATCCACAGATGGGAGAGAGAAAAAAAGCTCCTGTTAATTTTTAGGCTCCCTAAGTTTGGGATCATTTGTTCCACGGCCTTGGTAACTGATCCATACAAACTGACCCATACAGCCCGGCATTTGAGATGCTTACGTCGTATAGTTGTGCCCGGGGAAGTCAATGTTGTTCTTGATGAGTACAGTGAAGTTTTCAGCGCTCCTCAGGAGTGCAGGCCTGGGAGAGAAAAAACCAGGATCGGTGACCTCAGGGACAAAGCGTTCATGGGACCAGAGGGTTATGGCTTTGAGTGGAGAGAAATGAATAAAGCCACTTCCCAAAGTTCTCCATAAGGCCTGTAGCTCCTCCCAGAGGCCTTCTACCTTCTCAGGACCCCCATGGGAGTTACGGTGTCTGTCCAACGCTGATACAATTGCATGCTTGGCTGTTGTGCTCTGGGTAGCATTTAGTTCTGCACTGAGTTAGAGGAATCAGAATTCCAGGCCGCAGGAAGGCCACCTACCCACTAGCCAGACAGCCACTCACTAGCAAATAATTATGGTATGGAACGTGGAGCCGGGGCACTGGGGTATGGTGATAAACAAGACCATCAGCGGTTGATAATCTATGAAAGATGGAGACTGGCTGAAGGTTAAAATGCCGAGCAGTAGTGGCCCATGCCTTTAATCCCAACACTCGGGAGGCAGAGCCAGGCGGATCTCTGTGAGTTCGAGGCCAGCCTGGTCTACAGAGCGAGATCCAGGACAGGCTCCAAAACTACACAGAGAAACCCTGTGTTTGGGAAAAAAAAAAAAAAAAAAAAAAGAAAGAAAGAAGACATGAGTTATTAAATGCAGATCTCAGTGCCAGATGTGGGATACTTCCCTATGAGAAACTGTTGTGGGTGGAGGGGGCAGGGGTCCTGTGGCCATTGGTCCTGGTTGCTCATCATACGTAGCTGATAAGACTGTATTACTGAAGTCATAACACACTTTGGACATGGAGGAATCCAGCTGGAACTGACCTGGAGATTTCCTCCTTGCCTCCCTTCTCTCTCTCTCTCTCTCTCTCTCTCTCTCTCTCTCTCTCTCTCTCTCTCTCTCTCTCTGTGTGTGTGTGTGTGTGTGTGTATGTGTGTGATGCATGTGTATACAAGTGCGCAGGCCTCAGAATGCTCATTTGTGGAGGCCAGCAGTTGGTATCAGACATCTTCCTCCATCACTCTCTACCTTACGTTTTTTTGTTTGTTTGTTTTTTGTTTTTGTTTTGTTTTGTTTGTTTTTTCGAGACAGGGTTTCTCTGTGTAGCTTTGCGTCTTTCTTGGAACTCACTTTGGAGACCAGGCTGGCCTCGAACTCACAGAGATCCGCCTGGCTCTGCCTCCCGAGTGCTGGGATTAAAGGTGTGTGCCACCCCCGCCCGGCTTCCACCTTACCTTTTGAAGCAGTGTCTCTCACTGAACCTAGTTCTCACTGAACCTAGAGCTCATCCATTTGGTGAGCTAGACTGGCTGGCCAGCAGCCCCTGCCTGACTCTGCAGCCATCTGCTGCTACCCCTGGCTATTCACATCAGTACTTGGGATGCAAACCCAGCTCCCCAGGCTGGCTGGGCAGGCCCTCCACTCACTGAACCACCTCTGCAGCCCTGCTTCCTCATATTCTTTGTCATTTAATGAGCACGGATGGGTCAGAGCCAACCCTGCTCTTCCAGAGCAGCCATGATAGGCAGGGCCACCTAAGGGTGGTCCGGATCACAGCTACATGCCAGCTGGTTCAGGACTTCTATAACATGGCTGCCAGGGCCATTGTTTGTGCCCCCATCATGCGACTCACCGGGGGGCTTCTTTCCCCTCCTCAGTGGGACACCAGGCAAAGACTTCACAGGTCTTCTCCTTCTTGTTCTGATCATCGTAGGGTACACACTTGCCAGTCTGGATTCCTACAAGTTTTAAGGGGTTGAAGAACCACAGATGTGAATGTACCGGAAGAGGAATATCTCTGAGGGGCACCATGTACTCAGCCCACACAGACATGATGCTACACTCTTGTTTTTTTGTTTGTTTTGGTTTTTTGAGACAGGGTTTCTCTGTGTAGTTTGGTGCCTTTCTTGGAACTCACTCCTAGTATCCTAGTCTGGCTTCGAACTCACAGAGATCCGCGTGCCTCTGCCTCCCGGGTGCTGGGATTAAAGGCGTGCGCCACCATCGCTCGGCTCACTCTTTTTTTTTTTTTTTTAAATTTATTTATTTATTATGTATACAGTGTTCTGCCTGCATGTATGCCTGCAGGCCAGAAGAGGGCGCCAGATCTCATTACAGATGGTTGTGAGCCAACCATGTGGTTGCTGGGAATTGAACTCACGACCTCTGGAAGAGCAGCCAGTGCTCTTAACCGCTGAGCCATCTCTCCAGCCCTGATGCTACACTCTTAAACCCAAGCGGCCCCTCTTCCATGAACCCCACCCTCCTCACATATGCACTCCAAGCCAAACAGAACACTTGACAAGACATCTTTAGAAAGGCCCAGAGATAGCGCAGCGAGATGCTGGAGTTTTGTTTGTTAATTTTTTTTTTTTTTTCAGAACTGAGGACCGAACCCAGGGCCTTGCGCTTGCTAGGCAAGCACTCTACCACTGAGCTAAATCCCCAGCCCTTGTTTGTTAATTTTTGCAGGGAGAGATGCCTGAGAGAGTTCTGTATACAATGTATCCTATACATGGACTGAAGTATGGCTTCTCATGTGGCATCTGAGTGCCTCCAGGGGTACACAGCTCATCTGGGGATGTGTGAAGCCACATGATGAACTTGGGGAGCATCTTTCTGAAGTGTCAGGAAGGGAGAGAACTGATAAAAGGCCAGCCACATTACAATGATCTCCATGGCAACTCATGTACACATGTTGTGGAATGGACGGCAGCACTCAGGTACTTTTCTGTGAGCATGAGTGTGTACATTGTAACCACTGGTGGCTCTTACTTCCTTGTTTTGAGACAGGGTCTCTCTATTTAAGCTCCGGCAGGCCTGGAACTTGCTATGTAGACAAGGCTGGCCTTGAACGCACAGAGATCCACCTGCCTCTACCTCTGCCCCAGGAATGCTGGGATTAAAGACCTGTACGACCACACTAGAGTCTTAAGCCTTTTAAAGTTAAAACACTCGGCAATGTCTTTTCACAAGGTTGGGACTGTAGCTCAGTGGTAGCGTGCTTACCCAGCCTGCAAGAAGCCCTGGAAAGAAAAGAAAAAAAAAGAAAGCGGGATGGAGGAAAGGAAGGAAAAGTAAAATTAAAAAGCTAAACTCCCAGGTTTGGAGGTTCAAGTTCCTCTGCCCTTGGGGAAGTTCTCCAACAATTAGACCCTGAACCTACATCTCTCCCCGGGGCATTCAAGCCACGCTTACAGGCTTCAGCTGGTCTGTTGGGGACAAATCAGGGGACAGACAACTGACCTGTGATTTGGTGGAAGAAAAGGCAACTGAAAGCCGGAGGCTGAGGACTCGAAACTGGACATCAGGAATGTCACAGAGACGCCAGACCACCCCACCTCAGCAGTTCAGGGAAAGGCAGAGAAAAGTACCTTTGCTTTGCGGGTCCATCCACCCCTTGGTACAGTCCTTGTCAGAATGACACTGTGTACCTCGGCGGGGATACTGCAGGAAGGAGGGCAGGAGAACAGAGAGTGAGCATTGCCTCCCCAAGACCCCACAAACCCCTGCTCGCCACTGTTCACTACAGCACTGCGCCCAGTGGCCAGAAAGTGAAAACGGACAAAATCCATCGAGGTGTGACTGGACAAATTAAAGGTGGCTCATTCATAAGTGGAACGAGAGTGTGTGTGTGTGTGTGTGTGTGTGTGTGTGTGTGTGTGTGTGTGTGTAAGCCAGAGGTCAATGTCAAGTGTCTTTCTGTCACTCTCCACCTTATTTTTTGAGACAAGGTCTCCCACTCAGACTGTAGCTCACCGATTTGGCTGGGCTGGCTAGCTTTCCATCAAGCCCCGGGGATCCACCTGTCTGCTCATCTAGCACTAGGATCATAAATGAATACAGCTACAACCAGCTTTTTCCATGGATGCCAGGAATCGAACTCAGATCCTCATGTGTGAATGGCAAGTACTTTAGTGACTGGCCCATTTTTCCAGCCCCACACGTGGAGTCTTGTTCAGCCAGGTCCTGGCACGTGCTACATCATGGACTGACTTCAAAACAGGATGCCGTGTGAAAGGGGCCAGACACAGGCGGTGCCACATCCTGTATGGGTCTGTGTATAGAAAATGTCCTGGATAGCCAAATCCACAGAGGGAGAGCAGACGGGCTGTCAATGGCTCTGGAGACGGGGAAGAGATTGGTCACTAATGGGGACAATTTGTTTGGGGAGTCAAAGTTTTCTGGGGAGGGGGTGTGGAAAATTTTCTGGAATTAGGTAATTATGGTGATGGTTTACATGATGTTGAAAAAAAAATCCCAAATTGTATACTTGGAAGTCATAGGTTTTTAAAGTGTATGAATTATATCTCAAAAATAAAAAATGTAAACAGTAGATGTCAGGGCAGCCAGGAGGCACTTTCAGGGATGGCCTTTGGGGTAGAGAGCAGGTGGCGAGGTTGAGGTTGTAGTGGCCCTGCCGCCACAGGACTGAGAAGCTGACAGGTACCAAGGTGCAGCAGACCATGTGGGAAGAAAGGACATTGCCAGCACCCTCCTGGCCGGAGAAGATGGGTCGGCTATGTCTGGGGCTGAAGGATGGAGTAGTGGAAGAGAAAAGAGAAGGTTTAGTGTATGTCTGACTTCATGCAGCAGGTCCAATGGCCAGTCTCGGGAAAGACAGAGCAAACACAGGTGTGGAATAGCCTCTACTCATGGTCATCTGGACATTTGGTTGTTTTTTGTTTGTTGGTTTGTTTTTTGAGACAGGGTTTCTCTGTGTAGCCCTGGCTGTCCTGGAACTCACTCTGTAGACCAGACTGGCCTCGAACTCACAGAGACCTGCCTACCTCTGCCTCCCCAGTGCTGGGATTGAAGGCGTGCACCACTACTGCCCAGCTCATTTGTTTCTTTTTATAAGATCAGGGCAAGGATCTAGGTCTTGAGTCCAGGTACTCCTGTGTTCTGTGAGAGCAGCTTCCTCTGTGGGTTGTGTTACCTTGGCCAAGTCATTTCACTTCCTCTAGACTGTGTTCGACTCATCTGTTAGAGGAGGGTAAAGTGCTTTGACTTGCATGGATGCTCTGACGATGGAAGTAATTTTGGAAAGAGGGCTTAGCATGTAGTCCTTGCTCAATGAATAGTTCCCAGTTTTCAGACTCATTTCTCTTTACTGCCTGGATTGCTTTCTTTCTGTGGCCCACCAGGTCCCTGGGTTCTCCTCTTGGTAATCCCTAAATTCTACTATGAACCTTTGACCTGCAAAGCCTCGGTCACATCTCTACAGCCTAACTATCTGCCCGACTCATAACAGATCTTGATCATCGTAGTGGGAATGAATGAATGAATGAATGAATGAGTGAGTGAGTGAATAAATGATTATATACTATGGCTTTGGGCAGCTGTGATTTTCATTATCAACTATAAGGGACTCCTGAGAAAGAAGATAAACCAATTCTATTTTTGTCTGTAAAAGAAACTCTAACAACATTAGTTTTGTGTTTGTTGCATGGGTTGGAGAGGGTCTCGGTCACTCTCCTGACCGATAGATGAAGTGTTTCCCTCCCTTTGGAGCTGGGCCTGTGTGTGATCACAGAACTAACTCGGTGCCAGCTCCAGGCTTAGACCTTCCTCTGCGCTTCTTGGCTCTGGGGTCGCTGAGCTGCAATTTGGAAAGTTGGCTACTCTTCTGGAGGAAGCAGAAAAACCCTAGAGAGTCCCCGGAAGTGAAGAGGTGCTCAGCACTTTGAGCTGCCAAATGATGCTTAAAGGCAGTGGCTTTGCAGCCACAGCTCTGTGAGAGACTAGCCAAACCAACAGAAAGCCAGTCACCCAGCTGAGCCCAGCCCACCACGGAACTGAGACTAAACCAAGCTGTGTGAACCCCTTCAGGTGCACAGGAGTTTGAAGAGCTGGAAGAAGCCATACACATTCAGGTGTACATTAGGGCTTGGCCGCATTTATTGAGATGACCAGAGATAGTGTGAATATTGACAAGCAAAGAGAGGAGGCGCATGTCCAGGTGGAATGACCCAGGCCAGACTGCAGGTCGGCTAAACTCCCCTCCCCAGAGTCATGTGGTTCCCTCCAGGCTGGCAGTACCCCTGTGGAGGGTGGCCTTGGGTTTCATCTGCTCTGGGTGATTATTTTTGTTCCACAAGCAGCACATTTTCTGAGGGCTTGCAGTGTACCACGAAATGTCTTAAGTGCTTTCTTGTGTAAAATAGGGCCTAGGAGTTACCCTCCTGAATTTGTGAGGCTCTGATGAAATGTGAAATAACACACATGCCTGGAATCATGTTGTTGTGAGCTGCACAGAGAGCCTGTGAAGGTAAGAGCAGGTGTTCACACAGGCCCCTAGACTAAGGAGAGCAAAGATCTCTTTCCCAGAATGCATCTCCCTCTTGGCCTCTCTGAGAGGGTCCCCTACTTACCTCAGGACACAGCTTCTGTTCTTGGCCTTCTGTTTTGAGAAAATTCGTCATTACAAAGAACGAGTTCCCCTGCAGAGAGAAATGGAGGGGTAAAGGCAAGACCTTGGGGAGCAGAACTCCTTAAGCAGCATATGTTTCGCTAAGTGCCAGGGGCGAGCCTTTGTACTCTGAGAAGCCTCTAGAAATCAGCCGTGGGCAGCATGGACTTTGCCAAGGGCTTAACATCAAAGCTGCAGGAATTGTCTCACCGGGCAAAGGGGGAGCAGGGGAGCTTTCAAATGTGGGGAGCCGTCATTTCCCGAGCCAGCCTCAAAAAGCAGCTGTGTTATTTTCCTGACACAGTAAAATCCCATTAAATTGAGACTCTGGAGAGCTGGGGAAGCGGAGGTGGGGTGTGGGCCGCACCCTGGGCAAGCTGTTCAGATTTCTCCGGGCTTAATGGAAGGCTATGGGGCTTCCCACTACCTGGGCAATCAGTGGCTTTTATGGTTTGTAGCTAGAAACTAATAGCAGCCTGGGCCTGATGGTTTTGCCAAGTGCTCTGGCTCCCCAGGGTTGCACATGGGTTCTTTTGTTCCTCCCACCCCCATCTGTTCCTGACTACTGGGCCTCGCTTTTATTTCTCCTTTTTTGGTGAATCGCTTTCATTTCTCCTGCGCTGCAGCCTCAGCCGGCCCGCCGCACACTTCTCTGCGACCTACACCTTTTCTCTCACCCGTCACCACATCCTTTCTTTAGAAAGACTCAAGAACCTTCTTCTCCCGGGGGCCTTTTCAGTGACAGAAGGTCATCACACGAGCAGATGCAGATGACAAGCTCTCTGCCCTTCTGAATCCCGGCTGAGCTGGCCCTGCGGTGGCCCTGCTTCTAAAGCCGCTCGCTCGCTCGCTCGCTCGCATGCGCATGGGCGCGCCGCGAGTGAATCAGATCCCATTTGGAATGCGCCAGGATGCGCTATTTCCAGCAGCCCTCCCTGTAGGGCTCCATAAAGCAAAGACGCATCTTCTTTGAGCTGCTGGCTGTGACCCAGTTTTGCAATTTTTAGGTTTTCTCAGTTGGGATTTTCATAGGCTTTAAATAGGGCCAACGTTTTTCTTTTCTATTGAGACAAGGTCTTACGTATTCCAGATTGGCCTCAAACGCACTGTGCCGCTGAGGGTGACCTTGAACTCCCAGTTCTCCATCCTTGACCTCCTGGGGCTACAGGCTTATACTCCCACTGGTTTTATGTGGTGCCAGGGATTGGACCCAGGGTTTCATGCATGCTAGCCAAGCATTCTACCAGTTGAGCTAGATCCCTAGTCCCAAGCCAACTTTTTTTTTTTTTTTTTTTAAATGAGGCTCTAGATCGGTAAGGAAAGGGAGAGAGGGGCAGTGACCAGGGATGAGCCCTGGCTCCAGCTGCCTGGTGCTCACCTGCAAAGGGAAGGTGTAGTCTGCAGTATCAAAGACACTGTGCAGTGACTTCAGCACCCCACCCTCCATGACATTCTCGGTCACCTCTGCGATCCCTTTGACCTTGGTGTGCACGGAGCTGATAACAGATTCTTTCCGCTGATACAGCTTGTCACTCACCAAAGCAAAGCTGAGGACAGATGAAAAAGTGTCAGTGGTTTTCTCACAACCCAGGGCGGTGGTGTGGGCTGCAGACTCTGTGGTCGTGGGAGCTGCTTCTGCCCAGCGACCGGCTTCCGTGTGACGCTCTGTCTCTGCAAACTGGGACCAGCAGCTGTACCCCCTCCCGCCCCTTAGTATTACCCACTATAGACAGAATTTCAACTCAGTCCTGTTCCTGGTGGGTTGACTGGCTCTGTCCCAGGGTTCAGGAACACCTCAGATCTGCTTGCTCTTATTTCAGCTCGTTAGATTTTTTGTTCTGTCTTTTTGAAACAGTGTCTCTCTATGTAGTCCTGGTTGTCCTGGTGTAGACCAGGATGACCTTTGAATTCACAGAGAATGCTGGGATTATAGGCATGTGCCACCACACCCAGCAGTTCATTTCATTTATAAGAAATATGCAAAATAGATAAATCTATAAGGGCAGAAGATGGATAGTGGCAGGAGAGAAGAAATGGGGAATGATAATTAATGAGTATATTATTTCCTTTTAAGATGACGCTCTGTCTCTGCAAACAAAAATAGCCAGGTGGTGGTGGCAGCGGCGTTGGCGGCACACGCCTTTAATTCCAGCACTCGGGAGGCAGAGACAGGTGGATCTCTGTGAGTTTGAGGCCAGCCTGGGCTACAGAGCGAGATCCAGGACAGGCACCAAAACTACACAGAGAAACCCTGTCTCGAAAAACAAAACAACAACAATAATAACAAAAAGACAAAATATATTGGTAGATAAAGGCATTTATTATATAATACCAAGCATGTGTTAAATGCCACCTATGTGTTCACTTTAAAATAGTCCTTTACTCCCCACCCCCAAGTGGTCAGTTTTATGCTATATGAATTTTACCTTGATAGGTAAGATAAAAATTGCATACGCCTTTAATCCCAGCACTCTGGACGCAGAGGCAGGTGGATCTCTGAGTTCGAGGCCAGTCTGGTCTACAGAGTGAGTTCCAGGACAGCCAGAGCTACACAGAGAAAACTTATCTAAGAAAAAAATTCACACATTTTTATAGATACAGACATATGTCTATAGAAATATCAAAACAAAGGAACAAACATCAAATTCACGATGATGTTTACCAGGGGAAAGAGAACTGGATGAAGGATGAGTTTACAGGGAGCAAAGCTGGATTAGTATGCTTAAGTTTCTTAAGTTGCACAGTAGCATGTAGGTATTATATTATTCATGGCACATTTTAGTGTTTCTCCAACAGTGATGAAAGAAGAAAGAAACTGGCCCAATGAGATGGCTCAGTGAGTAAAGGCACTTGCCAACAAGACTGACGACCTGGGTTCGATCCCCAGAACCACACGATGATGGACGGAGAGAACTGCCTTCCAGAAGTTGTCCTCTGTCCTCCACATGCACACCATGGCACATGCGCATGCACACTGTGGCATGTGAACACAAAACGTCAACAGTTTATTTTAAGGTGTTGGTGCTAGAAATCCAGATTCAGGACCCACCCAACATGTATGATACAGAGCTTAATAGAACCCTGTAGACAAATACAGTTAATGAGTGTTCGGTCTCACTTCGGTCTCAAAGCACATACAAAATACTTGCAATGTTCTTTCAAGTTATCCCTTGCAACATCCCCCCAGAACAACACATGCTCTACCATTTGGAAAGCTCAAGTCTGATGCATCATTTCCATTCTAGAATGTGCAACACATAATCATCTTTAATAGAATCCAGCCCTGTCAAAATCATAAAGCCTTTGCAAACATAATGGACCTTTGTATCATAATGAACATGAAATTCTTTTTTTTTTTTTTCTGAGACAGGGTTTCTCTGTGTAGCCCTAGCTGTCCTGAAACTCACTCTGTAGACCAGGCTGGTCTTGAACTCACAGAGATCTGCCTACCTCTGCCTCCTGCCTGAACACGTGCTGGGATTAAAGGCGTGCGCCGCTGCCGCCACCAACCATTGAGCATGAAAATTCTATTAACACATCCTAAAGATGCATCAAAGGAGAAAAGAGAGTTTGCAGTATCTTGCCTGTTCGAAAGAACAGTCTAATGATCAATCCAGTCATGAACTCTTGACCTTGTGTGATGATTCAAGAGAAACCAAGCTTCCTCTCTGGGCCATGGGCTCAGTCCTTGAATGAGGTCACAGTTCTCTAATCTCTAATCCTGGTGACTATTAGCTGTAAGGAACTGATGTTCAGTGCATCCAGGTGCACACAAGTCACCAGGCCCTGGACCAAACACAGTGTTAAGGAGCCAGGTATCTAGCTGTGCCTGGTAGAATGGGTAAGATGGAGAGGTGGGGAGGGAAGAGCTGGAGAACCTGGCCGGCACAAGAGACCTGAAATAGGAGAAACTAGAGTCACCCACAGACCCTTGCAGACGCGTCTGGCCAAAGAGAAGGTAGCCAGGAGAGAGCAGAGGTGAAGAGGGAGGTTTGGTCCTGAAGCCCTGGCACTGGCTCTCGCCTGACTCACCAAATGTACATGCTGATGACCGCTAGAAGGATTTTCTTCAGAGTCCCGACCCATACGCTTTGGATATGAAGGACTTTCACCGATGTGTAGCTGCAGAGCTGGTCCACAGACAGCATGATGAGAAGGTCCTCTCTCCCAGCTCCCCGGGCAGGAAGTGCCTCTCAGCAAAGCCTGCCTGCCTTTTAGAAGAAACCCTGAGTTCTGAGCAAGTGAAAGAGAGGCCTGCCTTCACGTTGGTTTACTCCACAGCTAGCCCCAGGACCTCGCTCCCGCCTTTGGGGCCTCTACACCCTCATTCACGTTGCCAGGAGCATTTGTCGGGGCCTCTTCCTGAGGTGAACCGCCAGGTCAAAGGGCATGCGCATTTATGTCTCAATTCCTTGGGTCAAACTACAGAAGGCGGCGTTGTCTCGTGCAAAGCAAAAGCGTGCACCCAGCCTTTCACAAAGGTCTTGACAGACAAGGGCATGGTCGCACAGGCGTGGCGGAGGCAGTGAAGGGTCTGGGTGGCACCCTGGGCATCAGTATGGCGATGAGGATAGATGTAGCAGTTGTGAGAAGCCCCCTGAAGGAGAAGGGCGCAGAACGGAGCTGTAACGTGATTACAGAAAGAAGGGGGCCCGGCAAGCTTTCCCTGGGGTTGCTAGCTGGTGCCAGTGAAGGTGACAGTGACCGTGGTGACAGTGGTTTGTCATTTACGCCATCCCTTTCCCTCTTTTCCTCCATCTCTTTCCCATCTGCATTTAAGTATGACTTCTCATCTTAAAAATACAGCCTCCCTCCTCCCCACATTCTTCTACCCCGCGCAGGGCCTGGCTCCTCCTGTGCAGCCCAGGCTTTTGAAAGAGTGAGTCACCACATCCATTTCCGCATCTCCATTCACTCTTCCACCCACTCCAGTCTGGCTCCCACCCCCACCGCTTCTCCGATGCCTCCTTGGCCAGCTCACTCCCTTCCCGGTCAGGCAGACATGCTACAGATGCCATGATCGGCCCTGGTGGCCATGGACCGCTTCCTTCTCCTTCTTCCCTCAGCCTTGAGGAGCCTACATTCTCCTGACCTCCTTGGATCTCTCTGGCCTCTCCATCTCTGAATCCCTTGGGACCTTCTGCATCTCCCTGCCCCTTGGATGTTAGCACCACGCAGGGCTCTGGTCCAAGGTTCTTGCTTTCGTCTTCTTGCTGGTCAGTTGAAGATGTCCATGGCTCCGATTACCATCTATAGGCTGGTGATATATAATCTATCTTAAAGCTCTGAAAGCAAATGTCTACACAATCAAAATGCACAGCTATGAGCCTCATATACCATTCAAACTCAGAGCCTTAAGCTCAGAACTTAGCCTTTGACTCCAATTGCTTTTTCTCCTGAACATACTTACTCCAGGAAGATATTCCACCAACTTCTCATCAGCTGCCCAAGTCAGAAATGCGACACATTCTTGACCCATTCTCTCCGTAAGGGTCATACATTGTTCAGTTATGGAAGCTGCTCCATTGTGCCACAGCAGAGGCTTCTGGGTAGACTGGTGTATACTCAAGGCTTCTGGGGTCCACTCCAGCCAAGCCTCCCCAGCTGCTAACACAGCACTGGACCATGAGTTGACTGCATGGGGCTGGTGTTACAGTGTCTCAGAGGGGAGGCCCCGGGGACTCCTAATCCACCCTCCTCACAGATCATTTCAACTGCAAATCCTATCGTTTGAGCTGGGCAAGCATGCCACTTGGGTGGTAGCGGCAGGAGGTCAGCTGCATATGGAGTGACTTGAAACCCTGTCTCTGATATGGCTGATGGCTGATGTTGCTCAACTCCACCTGTCCTCTGCCGCCGCCTCAGTTCAGATCGCCATCAGTTCACAGCTGCATGATCCAATACTGCCTGACCTCCCGCCAGGCCTGTCCCTGTCTCCTCCACTCTCCAATCTGAGCATGAAGTCTGGATAAGATGTTCAAAGTTCAGTCTCAGCTCTGCCCCTGACCGTCTCTGTGACTTTGGTCACCAAAGAGATTTGTAAAGGTTGTTGGACAACTCCAAACCAACAGTCCTTCTCAGTGGGAACCAGGCACCAGGGCCTCAGCTGCCGCTGCCCCCCTAAAAGAGCTGGAACCTACCAGTAATCCTTCCTGATTGCATGTTGCCAAGGATTTGCCGATCCTGATCTCTAGCAATGGTACCTTATCAGGGAAGAGTCTAGACACATGAATGAGGACTTTGAGATGGGGGATTACCTTCGGTTACTTGGGTGAGTTCCAAAAGCCCACGTGTCCCTGTCAAAGAGGCAGAGGGCAGCCTAACACCCACGCAGGGAAAAAAGGAGGCATTATGAAAACAGAGCAGATAGAGAACGGAAGAGGTGGCCTCCTCTTCATGTTTTCCAGCACCCTCAAGATAAAGCTCAGTTCTGTCCAGAGTCTGGGCCCTGCTGGTTTCTGCAGTTCCCCGGGGCCTCCCCTCTGAGACACTGTAACACCAGCCCGATGCAGTTAACTCATGGCCCAGTGCTGTTAGCAGCAGGGGAAGCTGGGCTGGAGTGGACACCAGAGCCCTGGGTGAGCAACAGAAACTTCTACTGTGGTACGATGGAGCAGAGGAGCTGGCTGCCCTGACAGCTTCCATAAAGCTAAAGAGAAAGGGATTGTGCTTATTTTCTTTCTTTGTTTCTTCCTTCCTTTCTTTCTTTTTTTTTTTTTTTTTTTTTTTTTGAGATTATATGTTTCAGAATTTTTTTTTTTTTAACGTTTTGGGGCTAGACACAAATTAAACGACATCACAGCGGAAATAGTCAGAACGTTTTAGCTGCTTGCCCAGTGTCTCTACCAGTCCTGACCAATGAGTCAGCAAGCATGCCTCCCTTTGGTCTTGCGTGGGCCAGACAAAGGCATCCTCCTCCACGGGACGCCTGAGCCATCTCTCCCCACAGCAGGTCCAGCTCAACTTGGTCCACATCTCTCCAACTCCACGGCCCGCTCTAGCCCATTTGGGTGACTCCAGCAGTCTCTCAGGGGCGCGCTTGTACCCCATTCTGGTCCTGCTACATGTCCCCTTCCCTCTGCACAGTGGCACTGGAGCCTTTAGGTACACCAGTCAGGTGGCTCTGCTCCCCAGTGGTAGATAGGCTCTTCAGAGGATCACAGTCCAGCTTTTACCCGCCCTGGCTCCCGCTCCTCCCTCCGTATGTCCTTACTGTCCTTCTTATTTGCTTCCTCAAATCTTTGCACGTACTGGCCTTTGGGTCCCGTGTGTCACGTGACTGGACTCTTCTCCTACAGGGCTCTCCTCCTCAGTGGGCCTTTTCTAATCCTCCAGCTGCCCGAACTCTATCATATCACCCAGGGCCAAGGTGATGAATGGCACATTTCATTTCCCCTGAGGCCGTTGAGCAGGGCCTGGGTTGGGTTTGGTATCCGGTATCTCCTCCACCTCCAAGGTAGCTTCACAGAAGAGGCCCAGCCTTCCAGGGATGAGGCCATCCTTTGGGGAACAGCCAGTCCGTCTGGGACTCCATACATACCTAAGCACAGACACACCCTCTCCCCAGCAAAAGACAGCCCGAGGCTTCAAAGGACAGCGCTGCTTGCTGGTAGTGGAGGCTGGCTGGGCCAGGAGGAGAAGCTGCTGTCAGGTCATTCTTCGGCCACTGAAGTATTTCTGAGCTCAGTCTCCAGGAAAGACGTGGGGAAAATTCACAACAGAAAGCAAGTATCTCTTACCTCTCTGCACCAAAGCATCCTGTGGCTTCTCAGCTCGTGGAATAAAATTAAAGACGGTGACGTTACAGGTGCCTTGGTTCAAACAGTAGCCCCCTGGTCACAGCAAACCAAATAGGAGCACAGCACCAGGGGGGGAACCAGCAGTTGCTGTGGAAGGGGCTAGCCTTGGCAACAGCCGGAAGCATAGTCTCCACAGCTGTTTCAGGGCTGAGACAATATAGACAAACCAAGACTACAAACAGGCCCCAGACTCCCCTGAGATCTCTTACTTGTTTATTATTTTTATGTATGTGTGTGTGCCTGTGTGAGTTTATGGGCAGCGTGTGTGTGTGTGTACAGAAGCCCGCCAAGGCCATAACGTTTCAGATCCCCTGGAACCAGAGTTACAGGCTATTATGTGTGTGCTGGGAACTGAACCCAGGTCCTCTGTAAGAGCAGCCAGTGTTCTTAATCCCCAAATCATCTCTCCACCCCCAGTCTCTGGCTTTTGAAATTAATTTATAGCCAGGTGGTGGCGGCACACGCCTTTGATCTCAGCACTCAGGGTTGGGGTTGGGGTGGGGGGGGCTGAGCCAGGCGGATCTCTGTGAGTTCGAGGCCAGCCTGGTCTACAGAGCGAGATCCAGGACAGGCACCAAAACTACACAGACAAACCCTGTCTCGAAAAAACAAAACAAAACAAAACAAAATGACCTTATAATAAACATTTTATTTTTGCTTGCCAACCTTCCTTCTTTCTTTTTTTTCTTTTTCCCTTTCTCTCTCTTTCTTCCTTCCTTCCTTCCTTCTTTCTTTGTTTCCTTCTTTCATCTTCCATTTATTTTGGTAACAGATTTTTTTTTTTCCCATTGAGATTGGATTTCACACAGCCCAGACTGGCCTCAAATTCTATTATGTAGCTGAGGCTGCCTTTGTTACTTTGTTGAAACCCTTCCATTGTCCAGAAAGTAGAGCTTCCGGGGGTGCGGCTGGAGCCCCTTCTCCTTCAGCTCTGAGGAAAGCTGCCGTTTTCCCCGTTTATCTCAAGGTAAAGGTGGTTGACTCATTTTGGGAGCCAGTAAGGCATTCACTCTGAGAAGGAGGGAGAGTGAAGGTTGATAGAGGGATCCCTGGACCAGCTAACCCCTCACGTTTATGACGGGCACCTAACCGCGGCGTCCTTACACTATTGAAATTGCTCTCTCCTGCGGAATCTGCGCAACTGAATTTGGGGGTATTCAACACACATAAGGCTTGATTCCACCACATGAAAGGATCTAGTTATTATTTTTAAAGATTTGTTTGTTGTTGTTTTTAAGATTTTGAGACAGGGTCTCACTATGTAGCCCTGACTGACCTGGAACTCACTCTGGAGACCAGGCTGTCTTTGAACTCACAGAGATCTGTCTGCCTCTGCCTCCTGAGTGCTGGGATTAAAGGCATACACCATAACACTTGGCTGATTTATTTATTGTTATTTTGTATGTGTGGTGTTTTGCCTGCACTTATATATGTACACCATGTGTGTGCAGTGCCCACGGAGGCATTGGATTTCTCTGGAACTGGAGTCACAGGTGGTTGTCAGCCACCATGTGGGTGCTGGGAACTGAACCTAGGTTCTTTTTTTTTTTTTGGTTTTTCGAGACAGGGCTTCTCTGTGTAGCTTTGCGCCTTTCCTGGAACCCACTCTGTAGCCCAGGCTGGCCTCGAACTCACAGAGATCCGCCTGCCTCTGCCTCCCGAGTGCTGGGATTAAAGGTGTGCGCCACCACCGCCTGGCTTGAACCTAGGTTCATAACCATTGAGCCATCTCTCCAGGTCTGGAACTAAGTGTTCTAAGGAGTTTTCATAATTATCTGTTTGATCTGCTTTCAAGAAACTATGTGTCAGATGGGTGTAGTGTGTACACCTTTCACCCCATCATTAAGAAGGCAGAGGTAGCCGGGCGGTGGTGGCGCACGCCTTTAATCCCAGCACTCGGGAGGCAGAGCCAGGCGGATCTCTGTGAGTTCAAGGCCAGCCTGGACTACCAAGTGAGTTCCAGGAAAGGCGCAAAGCTACACAGAGAAACCCTGTCTCGAAAAACCAACAAAAAAAAAAAAAAAAAAAAAAAAAAAAAAAAAGAAGGCAGAGGTAGGCTAGTTCCAGGCAAGCCAGGGCCACACAGTGAGACCCTGTTGCTAAATAAATAAACAAGAAATCCTTTACTGGACCTAATAATGCCACAAAGTCACAAAGAACTGGGACACCATCCATATATTAACACAAAATGAGCATTTCCTAACCAGTGCTCTTGTCCATTGGTCCTTTACCAGCTGGTCAAAGGAGCATCTTATTTTTTAATTTTGACATAGATGTTTGTCATCGATATTTATTGGATAGTAAATACACAGACCAAATAGTACCACCCCTAATAATAATAACAACGAAAGCCAAACGAGGGTTTGCCAAATGCCATAGAGTTCTCTAATAGCTTTGTTATTAGCTCATTTAGGAGTCCCAGTGATTGGCCCCATTTTATAGATGAGAACACTAAGACCCAAAGAGGCAGAGGAGGTTGGGGAAATGGCTCAGTCGGTGAACTGCTCGTCACCAGAGCACGAAGGCCCGAGTTCTCACATGAAGGCCAGGTTTGGTGGCATGTGCCTATCACGACCGTGCTGGCAGATCAGAGAGAAGGAACTCCCTGGAGCTTCCTGGCTGCCAAGCCAAATGGGTAAACCTCGGGTTCAGGGAGAGACCCTGTCCCAAAACAGTAAGATGGAGATCAAAGAACACATGTAAACATCTACACACATGTGTGTGCACATGCACATACAGATGGACACCTCCAAAAACATGCGGGGGTGGGGGTCGGGGGGTTGAATCCACATTTCTACATCTTAAACCCAAGCCTGGTTGTGGTTACTCTGAGGCTCAAAATAGAGGATGGATATAAAAAAATATCCATTCTGCTCACAAAGACGATTTCTTAGAAATAGCTACCAGTTGTGGATGGCTCCCATCAAAACCATGATAAGAGATGAACTCTTTCTTCTTTAGCTATCCAAACATTGCGTGAACAGACACAGAAACAGCGGCGTGCTGGTTCAAGTGACTTGGCCAAGAAAATGTATCCAGGACCAGGACTATAACACAGGCCACCTTGGAGCTTGAGCAGTGGCTCTGGGGACTGTTTGCTGTGCAAGCGTGAAGACCCACATTCAACCTGCAGCAACCACGTACAAGTTGAGCACAGCAGAAGATGTCTGTAATCCCAGCACCAGGGAGGCAGAGGCTGTAGGAACCTGCCACTCAGTGGCCAGCCAATCTGGCTGAATTGGTACGCTTCAGGGCTTTTTTTGTTTTGTTTTGCTTGTTTTTTGTTTTGGTTTTTTGAGACAGGGTTTCTCTGTGTACAGTTTTGGTGCCTGTCCTGGAACTCACTCTGTAGACCAGGCTAGCCTCGAACTCACAGAGATCCGCCTGGCTCTGCCTCCCGAGTGCTGGGATTAAAGGCGTGCACCACCACCTAAGCTTCAGGTTTTGTGAAAGACACTGTCTGAAAAAAATAAATAAATAAGGAGGAGAGCTGCCAAGGAAGTTGACCTCTGGCCTCCACATACACACTTACCTCACAAACAAGTACACACACACAGAGGCCACTCTCGATCTTAATAAACCACAGCACTTCCGCATGTTGTGTCAAAAGCACCATGGTTACCATGGTCTGAGAAACACAAGGCAAAGCCACAGGAGAGATCACATCACACCTGCGAGGTTAGTTATGATCAGAAAGCCACAGTATCGCGTGTTGATGAGGAGGCAGGACCGGAGCCCTCACGCTCCGGTGCTGTGAAAAGGGGAACCTTTCGTGCAAAGCAGCCCATCCGTGCCTCCGAGAGTGACATGCACCTGCCGTGTGACCCAACAAGTCCCCTTCTAGGT